GAAAGCAGCCCTTTGAGAATAAAGATTCATGCCTGATGAAGAAGAAGACAGTAGAGCATTCCTGGCTTGCAGTTCAGTCTAAAACATTTTTTAATAAAGGAATAAGAAAGCTTTTGAGATATGGACAAAGTGTCCTGGAAAGCAAGGATATTATATTTAAAAAAGATGTATTTGCCTTTTCTAAAAGTTGATTAAAATAAATTTCACTACCAGAGTGTGATAATTTTTGACTCACACTTGCATAAAGAAGAACATGGCATTAGGACTGGAGGAAGACTCATTAACAACCTGTAATATGCAGACATAACAATTTTATTTGTTGGAAGTGAAGAGGGTTTAAAATGCTTACAGATGAAGATCACAGACCACATTCTTCAATATGGTTTGCATCACCATGTAGAGAAACAGATATCCTCACAAGTAACATCATAAAGGCCAGCAGTTTGAAACTACCATCTGTTCTGCAGGAGAAAGATGATGCTTTCTGCTCCAGTAAAGATTTACAGCCTCAGAAACCCTATGCAGAGCCACTAAGAATTGGAATCGATTCCCCAGCAGACCACCACCACCACATCAACAACAGCAACAACAGCAGGTACATACATGGAGAGAGAGTATACCTACAAATATGTAAAGGTTTAATAAACGATAACTGCACATGGATGTTTCCATGGACATATTCATGAATGTACAGTCCTGGTGTAGTGGTGTGTGTTAATGCACTGGTCTTCAAAGTCAGTTTGAGCTGCATGGCCAGTGGTTCAAGTTCACCAGCCACTCTTTGGAAACCCTACCCAATGTTGCTATGAATGGGAACTAACTTGATGGCACTTAACAACAACATTCATGAATGTGGTGGAGCACACAGAAGGCCAAGTTATGAAAACCTCTTAAACACTGCCAAATACCTTGAAGGAATGCTTTACTTGGCTTTGGGGCTCATGAACATAGTACTGGGGGACATCATGGTCAAATAACATAACATAGTCAACAAAGACAATATTTTACGTCCTACTTTGGCGAATAGCACTTGGGATCTTAGAAACTGATGAGTGGTCAGCATCTTAGGTGCAACTATTGGTCTCTGTCTGGATGAAAGATGAGTGATGAAAACTGAAGACACTTGGAAATAATTAGTCCATCAGTCTCCATGACCTTGAGACTAGAAGAACTAGATGATGCTTTCTGCTGTTGTTAAGTGTCATCAAATAGGTTCTGACCCACAGCGATCCTATATAAGGTTTACAAGGAGTGGTTCATGTGTTTGAACTGCCTTGCGGTCCACCCGGACTCTAACTGCTCTTAAAGCCATCACTTAGAAGGTACTGAATAGAGTAGGAGAAAATGTAGAATGAAACTCAAAATTAAAAAAAAAAAAAGACCAGGCTTACTGTAGGATAGAGATTAATTAAACCCCAAGACTATGGTCCTTTGTCATCCTTCGGGTCTGGAAAGAACTCACCCCTAAGGTTCAATTTTCACTCAAGCAATATATAGGTATATTGGAGGGAAAAAACTCTAGCGAAGTACACACACCATACTATGTCTAGCCATCTGAGATCAAAGGGGAGCATTTAGCTAAGGGTAAAACTCAGAAGGGTGGGAAAAAGAGAAGGAATGGAAACAAGAAAGAGAGGGAGGAAGTTGGGTAAGTGGTCTGTCACATTGAGGGGACTGCAATCAAAATGAAATGAAGTAGATATGATGTGCTGAATGTAATACTGATGATCTACTCTGTAAACCTTCACTCAGTTCAATATAAAATGTTTTAAATTAATAAAACAAAAGAAAAGTTATAAAAGCACTCACACCCCGAGTTGTATATCTATCCAGAAACTGCAGAGTCTAAATACTAGTTTCTTCATCTATAAAATGGCGATAATAGCATCATTTACTTTGGAAATCTGTACAGACAGCATGAGATAATGTGTATGAAGTGCTTAATATTGGAATGAGTACACTGAATAATCTATCAGAACTATTACTAATTTTTAGCTTTCCTTGAAGGCAAATAACTTGAATTGCTATGACCTTATCTTCCATAGTTTCATAAAAATTTATTTTGACTAACATGGTCAGAAGATTTCACTTATGGCCTAATCTCTAAAAATGAAGAACTTCAAGCCACACTTAAGAGAAGAGATAAGGACTCAAAATGTCTGGTCCAGTCGCAGATGAGGAAGACAAATGAAAGGCATAGTATGGTTGACTTCAAGGACAAACTATGCATATTCTGGACACAGTCCAAAGGAGATTTTCCTCTAGGTAACTTTTGTATGAAACACCTGCAGAAATTCTCTTCCAGTACAGCTCCTATAGTAAATCTTCTATTATCAAGAGACTTGTTTAATTTACAATAACATCTAACCACATACCTGTATCCCATCTGTTTGACTGAGGTACAGCTGGATATTGATATAGTCAGGTCTGTTCTCTTGCCAAAACTGAAAGGACATAAAAATGAATAGACTTATTAAAATTCCTTCTGCCCACTCAGACTTTCTCCTTTTTTTAGCATATGTAATTCTAGAATCTGTTAACACATACCTTGTCTTATCACATTCAACATCTATAAGCAAGTACATAAGTATGTGAGGGGGCTTCAAAGGTCATGGAAAAATGGAAAAAAGATGATGGAATTTTTCCAAGAAGATTTTTTAAGCCCAATTGAATATATGTATTCACACACAAACACACACAATTCTGATTATACTTCTTCCAAGACACATTTATTAATTCTTCTAGCAGTTCATGGTATATATACCATGAGCTCACTTAATGGCCAGAAGAATGAATGAATGAATGTGCCTTAGAAGAAGTATAATCAGAATGCTCCTTAGGAATGAAGATGGTGGGATTTCACCTAATGTACATGCTATCAGCAAAGATTAGTGGATGGAGAAGTACACCATGTTTGGTAAACTAGAGGGTCATAGAAAAAGAGAAAGATACTCAAGGAGACGGACTGACACAATGGCTACCAAAATGGGCTCCAACACACCAATACTTGTGAAGATGATGTAGGATTAGACAGGATTTCATTATGTTGTATTAGCGGGTGGCAACATCATTGTTGTAAAGTGCTGCCAAGTTGATTCTGACTCATACCAATCCTGCGTAGGGTTTCCAAGAAGCAGCTGGTGGGTTTGAACACCAACCTTGTGGTTCACAGTCCAGTGCTGAGCTTAAAGTGCCACACCAGGTCTGGTACCAATCCGACCACACCTAGCAGTAACAACATATCTCATATACCTAATTATAACATTAATAATATGCTCCATTGGTATAGATTAGGTATGATGTTGGCGATAGAAGGGAATCATTCTGTTATTTTTATAGATACAAAATCTAACTAGCTAAATACTACAACCGATATCCACTTAAGTGTTTCTAAATATTATAATGCTTTCATTTCTTCCCTCTGAATTCCCAAATTTTACCCAGGAGTTCACTGATAATGAGCATGATCCTATTTTTAAAATTCAACAGTGATATACATGTACACTCGGAACCAAGAATGCAAAGTTTCCTAGCCTATTAATTTTTTCTAACTCTCCTGGGCCTCAGAAAGCATAGGGAATGTTAAAATATAAAATAACACAAAGCTAAACAATGAAAAGACACTTGTTCTTTTTCTGCCTTCTCTCTATTCAGCACTGGTTTCCTTTATATAAAAAATACAAGAAGTGGGCACTAGCTCTGCCAGAAGAGAATAGGAAGAAAAACATATTGAACAGGCCAATATCTTGAAAAATAAACAAACTAAAAAAAAAAAAAAACACTATCTGAAGGAAAAGAAATCCAGCAGAGGGCAAAGGATTTATCTTCATAGGTTTCTTTTTTCTAGAAGCCAAAAATGAAGGACTGGCCCTCCTCTGACTACATTTTATTGCTATTTGTGTTTCCCCCTCTCTTCTTCATTCCCTGAAACATACTCACAACACAGAGACACATACATTGACTTGGTAACATGAATGTCAACACAGAAGATATATATTCATATTTCTGTGGAGCTGTAGGATAAGCAGTGGACTTCATAAAAATAAGGAAGTAATTCTATGGATATTATTACTTAAAAAAATGTTAAAGATACAGACTGATGTTAAAAAAGACAATTCTCAGAATAATACATAAAGAATGATATAATTTCTTGTATTCACAAGTTACTTTTGTTTACATAGACAACATGGGGAAAGTAGTCAGTGAGGATACCACTTTATTTAATTTAAAAAATCTGTAGCAAAGATGCACTTGCATATTGATGATATAATTTTAATAAAGATAAATAAATAATAGGGAAATAAGATTACCTCCATCTACCTCTTATTAACTTCACACATATGCATACCTCTCTATATAAAAGCACTCTTGGCTGTAGAGATATATCCATACCCACACAATTATCTGGAAAGATATGTACCAAATTACTGACAGAAGTAATATTTCTATATTATTTTTAATGGATTTTTTTCTCCTTGTTTCTTATATATATAATTTTTCATTTATCCTAAACAGACATTTTTAACTCTTGTAATATGAAAGACAACTGCTGTATTTTTTTTTTCTAAAACTAGAAAAAGAAATTCCCAAAGTAAATGCAATCCTAATTTTACCTTGTTGTGCAACACACAGAGTAAATCTGCAAACCACCGGAAGGATTGAATATCTCTGCACACCCAAATAAAATACAGTCTTCTAAGCTTGTATGGTTTCCAGTCATCCCTTTAAAATTAAAATAATATAGTTGGAATTAAATGGCAAAAAATATATAGAAAGAAAGAATCCCTAGATACTAAAAAGTTTGTTTTTCATTAGAAAGCAACCAAGAGGAAAACCAGTCATTTACATTCTACTCTCTGACATAGCACTTGTATAACCTCAAGTGAATTTAAAATGTGGCATGATGACTTAAAGATATGACATACCCCATAAATTTAAATGATTATACTTGTCAATGTTATATACCTATCACTTGTTTTCAGTAGAAGGTACTGGACTAAACTTCTGGATCAAGATAATATTGCATCCTACATCCAAGAAAAACACGTATTCTATTTTTAGTGAATTTTATCACTGAGCAGGGCTCCAAAGGTCATCCATTTGTGTCCGAGTTTCCAAGAAAAATGACCCAAAACCATTCCAGAAAGTCAGTTGTTTATCCCTTTCTTAATAATCATTAAAGGCAGAGATTTCGTAACCACTTGGTATGTAATGCATTCCAGCAATCCATAATTCCAAGTCTGGATTCTAAAGTAGGCTTGAGTAAAGAACATGTTCTTCCCTTTTCATAACATTAGGTGTCCTCATAACTTAGAATGTGTTGTCAGAAACAAATGTTTTCTGGCTTGGAATATAGTTATTTTTGTAAGAAACTCCAAAAAAGTCTCAAGTTTTCATATTTAAAACTGAAATAAGATATCATGCAAACATGTTGTTTCAACTTATTATTTGCTTTTTGGTAAGCCATAAGGCAGACTTTCGATGTAACTGATGTCTCCTTGAAAAATGAATGAAATAGACTTGGAGATCATTTCCTGCTGTCATTTTATTTGTGATTTTATGGCAATTAATATCAACAAATCAATTTTTGCTTGGAAGTAAAATAACTTGGGATATTCCTAAAATTAACGTAACTGGAATAATATTTCCTGCTTAAGCTATCTTACTTTTGAAGCTTCTTTTCTGCAGTCTGTTGTAAATTTGCTGAGTAACAGAATAAGGAATTGTATGCTCATTTGTCATCGCCTCAGAAAAGTCTCTGGCACATTTCCATAAGAACCCCAGTTCTTTATTTTCATATCCTATTAATCTCTCTAGTTTACATGATAGTTCTAGCCATCCTCTGAATTTTTCTATTGATGAATTGCTTACTTAATTAGTTTTACATGCCCCATTTGCATTTGTTCATTGTTGTATTCCCAGTACCTTAAGAACACTTGGTATATCAAAATCAAAAACCAAACCTGTGGCCACTGAGTCAATTGTGACTCAGAGTGACCACAAAGAACTGAGTAGAACAGCTCCCTTGGGTTTCTGAGACTGTAACAACACACAGGAAAATTCTGTAAGGAATTACACTTAATTGTTGGTAATTCTTTATTTAGACTTAGAAAATGGAACAAAATGACATACAGCAGAGTGTTGAGTATGGATGCAAATGGGGTTACTCCAATGCCTCCAGCCACACAGAGGCTAACCTCATAGTTCAGTGATTCTTCAAATGGACTTCCAAATGGGCCATCAATATACAGCCTGTAGATAAGGCAGATGAAGTTAGGGAAAACAAAAATTAAGTAAATTAACGCTCTATAATATGAAGCAAACATGCTGAATCCAAATCTTTATTTAAGGACTTTGTGATGACTCAATCTTATTTAATTGCCTTGCAGCAGGTTAATGTGCTGGACTGCAAGGTAGGTTTCAATGGCAAAGTCTTGGATTCAAGTTCACCAGCTGCTCCTCAGAGATCCTATACAGAGTCCACTATGAGTTGGAAACAACTCAACAGCACTTAACAACAACAACAACAGAGTTGTAACCCTAAAGGAATAAAGAATGTTGTTTGTAAAATGTCAATACTAATACAAGTTCAGATGCTTCTAATTTTGCCTTTTCTAGAGGGAAACATTAATTAAAATTGCGGTAAAATGTAAATAGGACCATACATAATAGTTAAGGACAAATTAAAGTTTTATCACCTTATTATTACTATATTTCACTAAATTAAAAGGCCAATTGCTTTGCTATAGCTAAATTCAATAAAATATGTTCCTTTAGATTACAAGGTCAGTATAAGAAATACTTATTAAAATAATAGGAGAAAAGAATCAAATTTATTCTTGGATTAATTTTTAAGTATAGAAGCAGCTAGAAAACAATTTCAAAGGAAAATGGCATCATATCAAAAGTGTGTAGGGGGAAGAGGTTGGCTTAGAAGATCCTGAATGTAGATTGATGGTGGTAGGATAGCAAAAATGGTTGCACAACTTGAAGAATGTAACCAATGTCCCTGAAGTGCATGTGTAGAATTTGATGAAATATTTTGTTTTGTGTGTATACCATAATAACAGCAAAGCTTATGTGTGTGTTGTATGTATGACCTTTCTTGGCTGCAGAAGAAATTGCTAATCTTTCACTTAATATCTATTCTTAGATTCTTTCTTAGTAACACAACATTACTTTTATTCAATGAAACAAAATGAGTAAGCAAAATACTACATTTTATAAACTCTGTTGCAGCTATGTGTGATGATTTTCTAGTCCAGGTGGTTGCAGCAAAAGTGTTGTTGGAACAACATGAATGGCTTTTTTAAAAGAAGCTGTTTCAGCTTGAAGCTGGCATTCTTTTCTTCTTCTCCCCTTTCCTCCACCTTCCTACTTACTGGAATGTTGATTTGATGGTCTAAGTAGTAATCTTTAATAAATGTTGAGTTCCCATGCCCTTTCTGGGCTGCCTACCTCTAGACTTCTTTACATAAGAGAAAAACAAATATTTATGTGCATAAGACACTTCTATTTAAAATTATTTTTCCATTTTTGTTGTTGTTCTTATGTGCCGTGGAGTTGGTTCCAACTCATAGCAACCCTGTATAGGATTTCCAAGGCTGTAAATCTTTACAGGAGCAGAAAGCCTCATCTTTCTCCCGTGGAACAGCTGGTAGCTTTGAACTGCTGACCATGAGATTAGCAGCCCGATTCATAACCACTAAGCTACCAGAGCACCTTATTGTTCCATTACTAAAAAAATAAAAATAAAAATAAACTGTTTTAAAATAACAGTCCTAAAAAGTACATTTTTATAGCTAGACTTGGGATACCCATATCTTTTATGGTTATGAGTCATTGCTGCAGCAGTTAATATTAGGCATACATGGACTTAATAGTTAAGTGTCTAGTAAATGTTACTTATCACTTGACATTAAGTTGATTTCAATTAATGGCAACTCTATGTGTGTCAGAGTAAAACTGTACTCCATACGGTTTCACATAGCTATAGCCTTTCAAGAGCATATTGTCAGTGTTTCTTGCAAGGTGCCTTTTTCTGGGTGCATTCAAACTGCCAACCTTTTGGTGAGTAGTCAAGTGCTTTACCATTTAAGACCACCCAGGAAATACAAATGTTAGTTAAATGAATTCATTAATGTACATTCATTTGAGCTCTAAGCTCTATGATATGTAGACGTTGTTAGGTATTCCTAGTCATTGGCATTTTAACATTTCCTCTTCTTCCTGATTATTCCAGAGCTATACTTCTCTGGCTTCTTATGAGTGGAAGCAATACTTGGGACTTCCAGAAGGAGGTAGCAAAGTCTTCGCCCTTACAGTGGACCTAAAAGCTATGAGTTGACCAAGAAAACAGAAGAAGACGAATCTCTGAATTACTGCTCAGGGGAAGCTATCCTGGGGAGCCATATGGAAGACACTGCACAGACAAAAATAAACGTGTTGTAGGGTGATGTGTCACTAACACTTCAGGATTAACTAGTTCTTTCTGCAGCAGAACTTGGACCATCATGACCAACACATGAACATTATTTGCTTAAGTACTGAATGGAAACCTGAGTGCTGCTTTTCAAAAATCACTTTAACTACTAGGAACACTATTCCATATACCTCAGAGAATACTAACCAACACTTATCTGTCTAGCATAGTGTCCTAAATAGAGCAGAAATTCAGGAAATCCTGATTAGATTATATACTGACAAATACACTTAAGTTTTACTGTTGTTCTTAAGTGCCACTGAGTCTTTTCTGACACATACCGAACCTGTATTGGGTTTCTGAAGTGGAGTTAGTGAATTTGAACCACTGACCTAGAGGCTAACAGTCTAGTGCTTATCCTATACCACCACATCAAGATTCCTAACTCTTATTGGAGCTAACTAATTAACATTTTACAGTTTATTTACAAACAAAATGTGCACTGTGAGTCACTATTTATAAGATGCTGTTTTTGGATATTATTGTTTCAAAGATAAAAATGACACTATACCTGCCCTTAGGGAATTTTTGTATCTTCATATGAGTACCACACTACGTGAGTTTGGAGGATGAAAAAAACACTACAACACATTAATCTTTGTTAAATACAAGGAAAAAAGGAGTGATAAAATTAGCAACTAGTTTTATACTTTTTTAAGGAGCAGAATTTAGGAATCCATTCTGCTTTATGCTTGTCTAAAGATGCATACGGTAATTTCTTAAGTACCATTGTCCTGGTGTTTGTAGTACTGTTATGTTCATGATTTACTTATTTGCTGAGAACTCACCAAACTCACATAGGTTGTTTTAAAGTCTCTGATACTTTGAGATTTGTATCAAGAATCCAATATATTATATCATTAATTTTCAACTATCTTCACTAATGGTCTTGTTTGAAGGTTGTCCTTTTTCTTTTCAGTGAATATGTCTTTATAGAAGCATGATGTTGTTAAGTGCATGCAAGTAAGTTCTGACTTATAGTGTATCTGTATAGGGTTTACGAGGAGCAGTTGGTTTGTCTGAACTGCTGACTTTGACATGCTATTGATTTATACCACAATACCTTAAAATAAGGAGCTCTGCTAGTGTAGTGGTTACAAATCGGGCCGCTAACCTCAAGGTCGGCAGTTTGAAACTACCAGCTGCTCCGCAGGAGAAAGATGAGGCGTTCTGCTCCCGTAAAGATTTGCAGCCTCAGAAAACCTGTGCAGGGTCGCTATGAGTCAAAACCGACTCCACG